CCTTAAAAATTAAAATATAATAATTTAATTTTAAAAATTTTAAAATAATAAATTTAAAATAATTAATAAATAACTTTATCACATACAAAAAAATAATATTATAAATTTATAATTAAATCAAATGATTAGTTTAATTTAAAGAAAGAAATCTGATTAAAATTAATTTTTTTTATTATATTCAACTTTGTATTCAAATATACTCTTAATTAATAGTAAAATAGATTATTAAAATATTTAAATATATATATTTTGTATTTTAATAGTTTTGTGTAGCTCCTATTTGAAAAACACTTTTTTTTTGTCACAATTTAAATCCAAAATAAGAAATAAAAATAAAGGGTGTTTCGACAATTTAGTCGAAGTTAAAGGGCAGATCGGTCGTTACACAAACAGCAATTAAGATTTTCCACCAATTCTCTGAGGGTTAGTAAGTTTTCAAAACCCTCGCTTCCCAAACCTCTTCAAAAAGGCGAACACCATCATCATCTTCTTCCTCTGCAATGCAAACCCTAGTTCTTCTCCTTAGGGTTTAACACCTACACTCAATCATCGACGAAAACCATTTCAACCCACTGCAATTCAGCCATACATAATCGCGATTCTTGTTTGGCGTACCCATCTGGGGTTCCGTTGAGATGGTCACGAACTCGAGAACCGATGCTTCTACCTCTGAGACAGTGAAGAAGACCATCCAATCTATTAAGGAGATAGTTAAGGATCACTCTGATGCTGATATTTACGTCGCCTTGAAAGAAGCCAACATGGATCCTAATGAAACCACCCACAAATTGCTTAACCAAGGTTGGTTTCTTGAAATGGTATTCTCTCTTGTTATGTTTTATGGTTTTTTTTTTTCTATGGCGTTTTTTTATTCCTTTTGTGCTGTTTCCTTTCTTTCTTGGGGAGGGTACTGAATTTTGACTGATTTCAGGACTAGGGTATACTAGTTTTTGAGTTTTTTGGTTAATTCTTTTTTTTTGGGTTTTTGTTATTTATGAATGTGGTGGTGTTAATGATTGCTTGGGGTTTCCATCGGTATGGAATGTGGTAGACTGGTAGTTGTATTATACCCATGCTTGTTCTAAATTTTGTTTGGAGTGCTATTAATTGGTTACCCAGGTTGCAATCTGCTTAAACTGGATATGATATGTATATTTCTCATCACAAAATTTTCTTGTTGGAGGAATTTTGTTGCTTAAATGTTATGTTTAGGTTGTTTTATTGGGTTTTGACACGTTCAAGGTTATTTATGCCAGTTCTTGATTTCAACATTGTGCTTTTTAAAATCTGTCTGGTGTTCATGCAGCCTTGCAGAAAGCTTGCTAGGCGTTTGGCCACTGCCTAGTGCCTAGGTGTTGTTAGTTGCTCTAGGCATTTTTCCTTTTCTGTAAAAAAAAGCCAAAATTAATCAAAAAATCTAAAAAATAAAAGAAACCCGTAGCTTCTGCCTGAGGTCTAGGCAAGGTGGTAGAGCACTGCCTAACCTACGCTTGTATTTTGAAACACTGAGTTTTTGCAGTGCTTTAGTGAAGGATTTTAATTGGATGCACCAAAAATTAGTGTTTTGATCATGCATATTAATTTTCAAAGTGGAATTTGACAATTGCTTCCACAAGTCCTGTTACCATGTATTTGGTCTTGTTTTTGTAGTTTATTTGCCTTTTTGTTACTATTTATTGTTCGAACTGAATGAGTGTCGAGGTGAACACCTGTCTGTGCAATATGTCATTGCCGTTTGCCTTTTTCTACTTTCTCTCTTTGGTTTTTTTATTATTTTGGTGGTTTTGTTGCGAGTATTTATTGGGATAATTCCAAAAAAGGGGTGCTTTCAAGAAAAGAATTCCAAAAGAAGGGAGGTTTGTAACTTATTTCCAAAAAAGTCTGATCTTGTAAATTATTCTGATTTAGGACCTCCAAATCCCAAATTTGCCCCTCTTATAAGTCAAAATTGCTATAGATTCCTTTACACTAAGGGAAGTTAGAAAAAAGGCTTTTGAAAACATTTTTTCAATGATTTATCAAAAGGTAAATGGGGATTGAAGAACAAGATGGGAAAATTGAAATAAGCGACGAAAAGATGAGAATATCAAGATTGATCAAATAACTAATGGTTAAAGTGATCTCTAAAGTAAAAATTGTTGTCTCTATAAGATATAGATTGAGCAAAACATTGGATAGAATGGAGAATTTGCCAAAATGAACCAACGATTAATGAATTGGAAAGAATTATGGAATGATAAACTTACCAATAATTGGAGGCACACTAACAAACTGCATAATTCTTACACATTGAATAACACAAGGTGATGGGTTTCTGTGCTAGGTTTCTCTTGGTGAGGGACTTTTGCACTAGGGTTTTTTCTTTTCTTTGATGGTTTTATTGCTATGGGTTGGTTATGCAAAAAATTGTGTGAAAATTGGGCATGGAAGCTTCAACACAAGCCTTGCATTCAACCTAGGAGCAGCCCTCCTTGTATTTAAGCCACATCTTTCTTTGTTAGGATTTTCCCACTCAACAATTAGAAATGGAAAATTGAGGGGTTGGGGGTGGTAGTTCCATTGTTTTAAGGTGAGAGGGTGTCTTAAGTGGGAAAATCTTGATACTTAAACACATACTTCTCATGTCCTAATTGGTTTTGTTTCGTTTTTTGTTTTCTTCTTTTGTTTTTTTTTTTTTTTTTTTTTTTTTTTTTTTTTTGCCCAATAATTGGTTTAGGTTCTAAGTCACAGAAAGGTAAAGGAAAGGGAGTTTCGTTGCCAATAGAAATGAATATATCAAGTTTACAAGAGATTTTCATTTTAGTAAGTTGAGGTATTGCATTAATTAAAGATTAAAGAACTCAAAAGAATTAATAATAATAAGAAGAAGAAGAATCATTTAATCAGAAGTTCCTTGTAACTCTTCAACTCAAACTCCTAACATATCTTAACTTATTGGGCTTAGGTGAACTCCTAACATATCTCAACTTCTTGGGCTAAGGTGAACATGTAATTACTAATTATTTTCAGAAGAGCTTTAACATTGGCCATTGTCCAATTCCTAGTGAATCAATTCAAGATACCTTCCACCCTGTGATAAAATAATACATTCTGTTATCTTTTACCTGTTAGGTTTCTTATTTTTCTCTTTGCCTTATTGTTTGTTCTTGATCAGATCCTTTTCATGAAGTGAAGAGAAAAAGAGATCGGAAGAAAGAGGTATTGTTTACTTCTTTTCTGTTAACCACTTTTCTTTCTTTAGCAAGGTTGGCGGTTTCGTTTTTGTTACAACAATGCTAGTGGATGTATGATGTTGGGATTTTTTTCTCCCACATTAATGGTTTGGTCTTTTTTAATGAAGTATGTGACTTTTGGATGGTTATAACTTTTTGAGCGCCTTATTCTCTGAAGCCTTGGTTGTTGATAATTATGCTGTTAGTGATGCCAAAGTCATTACTCACATATTTCTATATGCTTGTTAATTTGGAAGTTTTAGTTGGTTGAATTCTGGTTGCTATTATTGTCTTCAGATGCAAGTCAAGTTGTGAATTTGTTTCTGCTGGGTAATCTGATTCTAATGTTAGGTGTTAACAGATTTTGAAGTTAACCTGATTTGACATTTATTATGATAGAGTGTGGAGTACAATGGTGTTGAACCAAGAAAACATCCAGAGAATGTTGTTCAACGAGTGAAATTCCAAGCATATCCTGATCGTAGTGCTCGAAGAGGAAGCTATACTCGGAATCCTTTCCGTGGTATGTATTAATGATTTCATCAAATTCTCCTTTTTTTATTGCCTTGTTGTTGCTTCTTTAAGCAAAGTACTATTAAGAAATGTCTCTTGTTAAAAGAGAAGTCAATTGTTGACTTGTGGTTGTGGGATCCTTTTTAATTCTCAATCCATCTTCAAATTGCAATCTTTTTGTTTTTTCTCCCTTGGAAATTTCATCTTATACAATTTGATAGCTTCTTCTTCTTCTTCCTCTTTTTTTTTTTTCTGGTTGTTTTATATTGCTTGCTTTATGTTTAAAATTATCATCACTGGGGGTGCCAGCTTCTTTTTAAATTGGTGATCATTATTTCAATTTACTTCTAATATGTCTGTAGTTTGATGGATGGCTCCTTGCTAGCTGCAGGAATCAGCAGAGAGTTCCGTGTTGTCAGGGATAATAGACTTACACAAAATGCAAACAAAGAATCGGAGCCTCCTTTGCCACAATCCACAACTTCCACTGGTGAGCCAGTGGTTGTTAATGTTGCTGAAAAGGGGTATGTTTATCTGGGAACTCGTTTATATTGCTCTTCATCTAAAGTTATTTTATATTTTGTTCTTCCTTTGTCCCCTGCATCCCTAATTGTAGTCATGGTTCTTCTTGTTCAATTGCTGCCCCAAAATGGTCTTTGCACAACTTTCTGGCAGTTCAATTGGTGGTGGTTCTAGTTCACCTCAAGCTTCTGATGTTTTGTCCAATTTGCTACCTAGACATGCTCAGGATGCAAATTCAAATGGTACTATTAGAAAAGATGCACTGGATGAAAAGCAAACTGCGGTCTCTAATCCTTCTTCATGGTCACAAACTGGGAAGCCCAACAATTTTCAATCTAATTCTGGTGTGCAGTCATCGAGTAGTTCTGTTGTAGGGGTATATTCCTCTTCTACAGACCCTGTTCATGTGCCTTCTCCTGAATCAAGATCATCTGGTGCTGTTGGAGCCATAAAGCGTGAAGTTGGGGTTGTGGGTGTACGCCGTCAACCTTTTCAAAATGCTGTCAAAGATTCTTCTGTACCAAGTAGTTCCCTCTCAAATTCTCATTCGGGAAGAGACAATTCTTCAGAGTCATTCAGACATTTTCCTACAATTTCTAAGGCAGACCAGCTTGGTCACACTACCGCCACTGGCTCCATCATGTCCAGCATTTCTGGAAGCAAATCAGTCTTAAGCAATCAGTATGGGAACAGGCCACATCAACAAGTTGCAGGTCATCAAAAAGGTACTTCATCTTAACTGTGAGCATTCTTTGAATTGAGAGAGAAGCTGGCCAATTTTAAATCCTGTTGGAAGGCACAAGGTCAAAAGTCCAGTTTATAGCATGTTGTCTTGAACTCAGTTGTATTTCCCTTTATGTGATATGCTTAGCAAAATATAATAGTTTCACTTTAAGAAACAGCCCAATTATATATTTTATTTATTTGTTTATAAATAACTGTGCATAACATTAGTTGTAAGAAATCTTAGAACTCAAATTTTGCTTCTATCAAGGCTATAATATATTTGAGAGATGTAATGAATGAGGGATAAATGTTACATAAAAAGTTGATTGGTTTTGTTGATTCCTTAAAAGGTCCTTTTGTTTTGTTTTGTTTTTTTTTTTTACTTTGTGTTCCAAGTTTCAATTTTGTTTAAAATATTGACTAACCAACCATTTCAATTCAAATTAATTGGTTTATCCTGATTGATTGTTTTTCCTAAATTTTGTGATATGAAATTGACAAATCACTCTTGATGCAGCTACCCAACATAAAATAGAGTGGAAGCCAAAGTCAAGCCGAAAATCAATTACCAATAACCCTGGCATTATTGGAGCACCCAAAAAGTCTGCATTTCCATCTGTCTGTGTTAATAATGTTAAGGACTTGGAGTCAGAAGCAGCAAAATTGCAAGATAAGCTTTCCCAAGTAAAAATATATGAAGATGAGAATGTAATCATAGCGCAACATATTCGAGTCCCAGAGAATGACCGCTGTCAACTGACTTTTGGAAGCTTTGGTGTGGAACCAGATTCTTCAAGGAGCTATGGACCTGGATTTCAGGACATTGGTGTTGCTGAAGATAGAAATGGTGAATCTGTTTCAAGGTTTGTGCTTTCTTTTTAGTGACTGTTTAGAGGTGGCAGCCAAAAAAGCTAAAATTTTATATAGATCAGAACCTTATTAAAGTGTGAATGAAATACATGCTACCAAGTTCAAAAAATTGCAATTCTGTTTTCTGATTGATGAAAAGAATTATGTTTATCTGCAAGGGCATCCCGCATCTGTACTGTGATTTATACAATACTTGTGAGGAAACCTGCTTAATATTTTTCAAGAAAAATTTCTAGTTATACCTGTTATACTAATGTCTATGGCTATGTACTACATAACAAGTTATTGATCTAAGCAGTTTGTCCATTTCTGCTCCGGATGCTTTTAGTGATGATGATGCAGGTAGCAAGCCAGCAGATGGTCCTGATGATCAAGTTAGAAATTCTGGATCTGGTTCTCCAGCATCTTCTCCTGAGCATCATTTGCCTCATAGAAGGGACAGTGCAAGTCCTCAGAATTCAGATAGTTATACAGATATTGGATTAGTCCAAGACAATAATCAATCCTATGCTCCACAAGAGTCGCATCAACAGGAAGATCCTCCCGAGTTACCCAGCTTTTCTGTGAGTTCAGTCTTCAGAATATTAACACTTATTTTCTACGTACATACATATGTTTGGTCTTAACTACATGAGTTTTTGAGGCTCTTTCTATTTAGAGATTCATAACATATTGTCTTTCAAGTTGTTGGCTAATGTGTTTTACCATCCTTTTCTTGCCTCCCATCTTCCTTATTCTGTTTGTGCTCCTTCTGATGGATCATTCTATCTAACCTGCATGCTTTGTTGCAGGCATATGATCCCCAAACTGGTTATGATATATCATATTTCAGACCCACAATGGATGATGCTACAAGAGGAAATGGTCTACCATCCACTCAGGAGGTAAGGAATCTCTCTCTCACGCATAGAAATATGGATGTCTACTTGCATGCTGTCTTGCAGAATTCATTTTCTCATGGATGCTTTGAAATTTCACTCTTAACTGATAATGGCAGGTTTTAAATTCACATATTGCCAACAGCATTTCTGCATCCACATTAGCAATGGTACAACAGCAGCAGCCACCAGTGGCCCAGATGTATCCTCAAGTTCACGTTTCCCATTTTGCCAATCTTATGCCATATCGGCAGTTTCTCTCCCCAGTTTACGTACCACAGATGACCATGCCTGGATATTCCAGCAACCCTGGCTATGCACACCCATCCAATGGCAGCAGCTACTTGCTCATGCCTGGAGGTAGTTCTCTTAAGTATGGCATTCAACAATTTAAGCCAGTTCCTGCTGGCAGTCCCACTGGGTTCGGCACTTTTGCTAGTCCAACAGGATATGCCATCAACGCTCCTGGTGTGGTTGGGAATGCAAATGGGCTTGAAGATTCATCTCGGATCAAGTATAAAGATGGCAATATGTATGTTTCAAATCAACAGGTAAATACATGTTCTTCCCACTGCACCGTTGATTAGGTCTCAAAAGTCCATAATTGTTATTTAAATAGAAAGTTTCCATAGAAGGGAAGATGTGTCGCATTCTTTTCCTTTAACGAGGTCAGGAAGATTATTATTTTTGTTTGGATTTCCATATTTGGTTGCTTTACTCACTGCAGTTTATTGTCAACTGAACTTGTAGTCTGCTGCTGCATGTGGTTTAGTCCCTCTGTACTTCCTTTTTTTTTTTCTTTTTTTTTTGGGGGGGGGGGGGTGTGGATGGCAAGTTTGGTTCAAATTTCCCCAAAATGGGTATGTTGCTTTCATGTATTTTGTTCACCTGAAAATTGGAGTTACGAAAGGGCTGTTCTTTTTTGACAGGCTGATGCATCAGACCTCTGGATTCAGAACCCTAGGGAGCTCCAAGGCATGCAATCAGCTCCATACTACAATATGCCCGGACAAACGCCTCATGGTGCTTATCTGCCGTCACACACAGGTCATGCTTCATTTAATGCAGCTGCAGCACAATCCTCTCACATGCAATTCCCAGGATTGTACCACCCTCCCTCCCAGCCTGCTGCAATGGCAAATCCACATCATCTGGGTCCTGCCATGGGCGCAAATGTTGGTGTTGGGGTAGCTCCAGCTGCTCCTGGCGCACAAATTGGTGCTTACCAACAGCCCCAATTGGGTCATCTTAATTGGACAACAAACTTCTGAGGGAACAATCAAGCTTAACCTTTTCTCGTGTAAGGGAGTGAAGCTGTTACAAAAAATTCTAGTTCTCTGTGAAATAACCAACAATATCCTCAATTAATCTTTTCAATCAATATGCCTTCCATTCTATTGCATTCTTGAGTGTTCTGACTTGAATTACATTGATCCTGGTTCATGGGAAGCCCTGCATTCTTGCATGCATTTAGTCACTTTTTTATCAATTAAAAATGGATCTGAGGGAAAACAATTATGGGGCCAACTCTTAGGGCCTGTTTGGTTGCTGCCTCACGCTGGAAGTTGCTCCACCTGATCCGTTACTTTCGTAAGTAGTAGTTTGTCTTTCACAATCCTAGAAATGTAGGGGTTTTAATGTCTAGTTGACTTAACACCTGGCAGCACAATCTAGGGTAAACAGCCAGCTCTTTTTGGCAGTAGCAACTTCGTACAATTAAGGCAAATGCAATCCATTTACCCATCATAATCCATAAGGATTCACCTGTTAAAGATCGACAGCTGTTATTTTTTGAGCTACATAATTATCACTTTTTGTCTTAAAAAAATGAAGTTAACTTTTTATTTTAATTGTAAAGGGTATATGTTGAATTTTTATTGGTTAATTTTAAATTAAAAATTAATTTTTAATATAAAATTTTATCTTTTTTAAGGAAAAAATTATAATTTATTAGTAGTATACGGGTACTTTCTACCCCTATGCAAGTTACAAACTTGTAATATTTAAATTAAAAATTAATTTTTAATATAAAATTTTATCTTTTTTAAGGGAAAAATTATAATTATTATTTAATAATAGTTTTTTATTTTGTATTTT